GGGAAACAGGGAAAGATTCTAAATATTTTAAAGCCACTCAAAGGAAACTTTAAGGTGGATATTAGATGTAACTTTATTTATACATATATTATTTTTCATGAGGTTTTAAAAAGTTGCATTCATCAGCAAAATTATAATTTCCTCTTTAATTTGGCCAAACATTGGTCATCTGGTCCTTATCACATCCATCCAGAGACCAGCAGTTTCTATTCTTCTTGACCTTTTTACTCCTTTGGGACACCAGCTGACATCACACACACACACACACGCTCTCAACCAAGTCCCCTGAGGTCGAAGCCAGCACAATGTCATTATCATCCATCGGATTGTACGTGGTCACTGCCCATTCAGTCTTGCTGACGTGCCTTTTGTGCTCAGTAATTCTTCTCACAGAAGACCCCCCATTCCCCTCCACAGTCCCCTCGTCGACCCTGTCTTATACCCCCCGTCTACTGTGGCCCATCTGTAATCCCATCCCCCAATCCTGCACCCCCATATCCGCCCTGTCTCGCCCTGCACTTCTCCAAAACAAACCAGCTGTCTTGGCCGGTCGTGTCCCCGGGGGCGTAAACAGGTGCCGAGAGAGCTGCAGGGCCTCAGCATGTGACACATGGCAGCACGCTCCTCCAGCCTTCTCCTCCAACCTGCCAACACACCAGAGAGACAGACAGAGTGGTGTGTTTTACAGCTGTGGACTTAATTGTTACCACAGACAAGGAGCTGCTGATGGTTAATAGCACAAAATCACTGCCTATAACTTTCACTAAGGGTCAGGTGATTAAATATATATAATTATAATTTTATAATTATGAATAAATATTTACTACGTTGTGTATGACTTTTTAATTTGAAAACATTATTGTGAATCTATCCGTTAGACATCTTTTGGTTGGAAGCATAAAGGAAGAACCTTGACAAGCCTTTAGCAGTTATAAAAATATACACTGCTGTGTAACCAAAATAGATAAAAGGAAAGGGGTCTGTCCTAAAGCCAGCTGTATTTTTAGCACAAGCTACACACTGTGCTCAGAGCGGGGGGACTTCTGGACGCAGGTCAATGCGCCTGTACACACATACCAAAATGGTAACCACAGGTCGATGCTACTATTCACGTATGAGTGTGAACCTGTCAATGGGGGCACTGATTGAAGATTTGCAGTGATTAAAAATAATATTTGGGGATGGGAAAATGACTGACAAGATTTTTTTTCTTAAGGTTTAGATCATTCATTAATCAGTTTATTAAAAGGAGAAACAAAATAGATATTAGCTCAATTTTTGGGCCCTATATTTGTTATTTTACTCCATTTTACTTCCTTGGCCTGCTCTGATACTTTCTGTGTATTACACTTCTTTAAAAAATGGAGTTTGTACATGGAAACCCAGCGAGTGCTCTTCTTTGTGCAGAGCTTTCACAACTTTTATAACTCTTTCAGGCTCTTGCAAACGCAATAAAGTCTTTTCTTTTGAAGCTTGTAGAACAAAGGCAGCCTCACACCCTTAAACTCTCCTACTATCACTCTCTGTGGTGAGCTCAGCTGTGCTTACACTTGTACATCTGGCACTTGACACTGTGTGTGTGTGTGTGTGTGTGTGTGTGTGTGTCTGTGTGTCTGTGTGTCTCTGGACCAGTGAGTGTGTCAGGGAGGGGGTTGCACGTTCGTGTGAATGTATGCATAAGTTGCGGTTTTCGGGCCACGCAGCAAAACAAACTGCCACTTTGTTGAGTAGGCAGCCTATGTTCGTACCTCCAACAAGCTGAGGCAAGTCAGTGGCTCAGCTTGTACGTGTGTGCATGACTTATATCACCTTCCATCTTACAGCAGTTATTTACTCATGTGGAGACAAACAACCCAGTAGCAATTACTGTACAGTCTTGCGTTGGAGATGCTGATTGTCAAACCCCGTAAGACTTTTAGGTGCAATAAACAAAACACAGGAATGTATTCTAGTGCAGTAGCAGTTACACGACTGCCTGTTGGATAATTAAGAATTTGTGTATTTCCAAAAATAGAATGGAAAAGAAAACGTGACTGTACTTTTCCTCTTAATGTTAAAAACCTAAACTTTATTACCCTGTGGAGGGAAATAAGGAGGTAAGAACATCATGGGCCTCTTTGGACTATAATTATGTTACGTAGATAAACTGAAACAGATGGATGATTTCATTTGGGGAGTTTTCAAGACTATTCACAGAGAATAAATGAAGCATTTTTTTTCATCAGTGGAAATGTAGTTATTCCAAAAGTTTGAGCAGAGCCTGCATATATTCCTCTGATAGCAACCCTTTATCTTACATGGTGCACAACAAAAGATTAACATCAAGAGGACATGGACTCAGTTTCATTGAACTTTTCTACTTGCACTCACGTGCAATACAACAGTTACACTCAGTGTTACGTAAGTAAATCACAGCGATCTGTGTATGTGTGTGACTGTGACAGCCACATGCAGTTTTAAAAGCAAAGCAGCAGCAGGGAAAGGGGTAGGGATTGTGCAATATCAGTGCAGCACACTTGGCCAGCTGCTCAGACTGGCCTTTCACAGGTCTGCTGTGCAAGTCTGAGGGTTGAATAGACTCTCAGCAGCAGCTCCTGCATTTGCATTTGATGCAGACTTCTAGCAGACTTCAGCCCGGCGGACGCAGCACCGCGGATGACTCTGAATTTAACAAAACTTTACTGATCGAAGGTTAAGGCAACCGGAGAAAAACGCAAACGAATGAGTTTCACTTCGGCGTTTGAAGCTTGGTCTAGTTTAAAGACGTAGTTTGGGTGCAACGCGCGTTGGGTGTGTTTAAAAACTGCTGCGGCTTGAAGGAGTGAGTGCAGACGGAACTAGATTTCCTGGCGGAGGAGCACTAAATCTGACGCGCAACAGACTACCGGTGCACAGTTCACCGCTGAGCTCGAGCCAGACCGACTGAGTGCGCTAAAACTGGAGGGTTTAACTCCGGGATGCATCTGTGCGCCGTTTAATAAACAACAACAGTTTTGTATTTTAGCCAAATAACGCGCTCGTCTGAGCTGTTTCGGACCCCGTTTCGAGGAGCACTTTTGGTTCCTGTGTTTTGTCCAAAACCCCGACGGGACTTTTCTCGACACTGGAAGGACTTAGACTGAACTCAAGATGTCAATTTTGCCTTTCACTCCCCCCATTGTCAAAAGACTTCTGGGCTGGAAGAAGGGCGAGCAGAACGGCCAGGAGGAGAAATGGTGTGAAAAGGCGGTGAAAAGTCTGGTGAAGAAGCTGAAGAAGACGGGACAACTGGACGAACTGGAGAAAGCCATCACCACCCAGAATATCAACACAAAATGCATCACTATACCGAGGTACGGCAGGGCTTCACGTTCAAAAGCAGCAGCGTTACAGCACCTTTAATTCATTACATACTTGTTACAAAACAACACAAATGTATCGAAGTGTTGCTCTTAACTGTGGCACGCTCACCTTACACACACACACACACACACGTATCGCATCCTTACTTGACTGTGAAGTTGACATTTCCACTTCCTGCCTCGCGTCAATGTTTCACACTCTTTTCCTTTGCGTTTATTATACAGTAACACGGGGACTGAGGTGATGCTTACGCAGATTACATAAAGGGAAAAAGCGAGCGTAATCATCGCACACACAAGCTGGCTGCAGTGCCATCATATGGACACTTTACCTTCAAGTGACTTTTATTTAGCTGTTTCTTGTAGTCAAATTCTATTTCACTGTGGTCATGTTGTTGAATAGTGGAAGGGAGGTGGTAGTGTGTGCATTGGCGAGCCCAGCAGCGCACATGCAATGCAAAAGCACAAATGGAGTCCAAGTTATATAACTTGGCCTTAATCTGGGACGCTTTCTAGCCCTGTGGGTTAGTGTGAGTGCGTAGGCGAGTCTGTGGAAGCTGTGTCTCTCCTTTCAGTGCCTCTGCACAGCCGTTTGTCTATCCACACGTTATTTACAACAAATAATCAACACGGGGCATGCGGCTTCAAGTTACTGCTCTAGTTTGAAGGGTTTGGTTCAGTTGCATTGTAAGCAGTCACTTTGCTCCATTGATTAAAGGCTGACAGGTGAGAGCTTGTGAGGTGCTGTTTGTAAACACAGACCATGCCCTTCAAAAGTCTTAGCTTGTCTTCCTAGAAATGTCATATTAGTAGGGGGGTAATGTGGAATTTAAAGGCAGAAATGGAATATCATATGCATAACTATGTTGTGATTATAATAGTGATAGACCGATTAATTGGGCCATTGTCTGTGCTCACAAGGCCGATAAACAAAAAATGCCTTCAGACACACATGTGCAGGTGTCAGTGAGGTTGCTGTGGAACCATGTTAACGCTGCCCCTTTGACTTTTGGGAAGATGGCGAAAAAGTTGGTTTGGAGCCCTGTGTTATAACTCTTAATGCATCCTGCTGTAAAACCCATATCGGTCAACCACTAGTGTATAATCAGTGGATAGACATCTTTATTTACAGACGCCGCGGGTCGCCTTCCAGGGAGTCCGCCATGTTGAACTGTTTCTACAGTAGTCCAGAAGGGACACACCAAACACTGGCACTAGACAGCAGCCACCGTAGTTTGTTCTTCCCACTTGGAAGAGGACGGTGACGCAAGGGAGTTGCAATCAGCAACTACACTGCTAGATGGCCCTAAATCCTACACACAGGTCCTTTTAAGGTTTTGTATATTTGTTATTATCTGTTTTGTTTGTTGTTTGTTACATACATTCAGTTGCTTTTAGTACACCTATCTAAACTGCGTTCACCCCATGTACAGTATCAGTATCTATGTTTCCACAGAGCCGAATATTCTTCAGATTAACTGAATGAAAATGCTCCAAATAAACACCTCAAATCAGCAAAAATACTAAACCAAACTGATTGAAATATCAATTAGTTGCAGAGGCATAGTTTAAAAATGTTTTTATAAGCCAATCAAAAGAAAAATGGTAAAAATACTTTATGGCTGCGTTCTTTCTGCACATGTCCTGGTGGACGTAACATTTCTTCACTTCCTTCCCTGCAGAGAGGTTTTTGAGACAAACAACAGACACATTACTGGAAAAGTCCAAGAAAAAATGAACAAAGATGGATGGAACTAATTAAATACCGCTGTAAAACGTTGGAATATCACAAGGCTAAATCCCAAACAACAAAATCGATCGGACCGGCCAACTTTATGTTTAATAAAAGCACGGACAAAATCATCACCTTTTTACACATGTCACACAGATGTTCGGATACACCAGGCCGCATTAGATCACACCCCAAAACAAACCCAAACAGCTGACTTAAAATCTTTGATCAGAAGGATTTAAATGAGAAGTGTGCGTGTAACCACAGCCAGTGAGAGCACAGCTGCAACGAATATTCAATTAATGTATTAGTTGATCGACATAAAAATAACTATAAATTATTTCGGTAATTGTTTTGAAGCAAAAAATACCAAACACTTCCAGCTTTGTGAGGTTTTGATGCTTTTCTTTGTCATATATTATAATAGAATAAACAACATGTAGTTTTGGACCGTTTGGCCAGAGTCATAAAATTATAAAAGGGATTATTCACTATTGTCTGACAAAATAGCAGATTAATCATTAATCAAAACAATCATTAGTTGCAGAGCCTTTATGACGGCAGTGCAAATAGTAGAAAGACCTCTTGTGTACAAGAATTCAACAGCCCCACAATACAGTCGCCAAACTGACAATAAAAGTTGAATTAGTACCTCTTTATAACAGTTACTACAAAAACTGAACATTTATGGTAGTAGGATTTATTGCGGGGATGTCATATTAGACTGTATTAGTTTCAGTCAGCAAAGTGTATTCTTCTATTTTGCAAGCTATACGTAAGAAAATAAAGGCCTCAAACATTTGCTTGTGTCCACAAAATCTCACTTGCATGTGTGGGCAATTTAGATTTAATAGCATACTGTGTGTCAGATGAAAATTGAACCCTGCATAAGGGCACTCCCACATTCTTGATCGCCGCAAGTGTGCATATCACAGCTTGCACAAGCCTGGGCCAGCATTCAGAGTTAAGCCTACCCGGAAAGTTGAATAACGTTTGCCATGATCCAGGTTTCATATTTCCCACCACTAATGCAGAGGGGAAGAGGCAGAGTGCATTAAGATGACCCCAGATCAGAGCTGGCTGTCAGTGTGGGCTAACAGTGTCCCTGGAGAGCTGCTGTTTCTATTAATTCCCCTACGTTCTGGCTCTCTGACAGCAGCCGACTGCATGTTCAGGCCTGTCCACAGGGAGGTCAGCTCCTATCTCTCTGACACATGAAATCCCCGATGAGGCTCATCGCCACCCCTCTTGATGACGGGTCTCCGTGATGCTGAGTACTGAAGGAAGCAGCCACCGTGCATTGATCGAGCCAGTAGTTGCATCCGCTGGTGGAACAGCAGATCACGTATCTGTTGGGGTCATTTAAGGTAGGATTATTGGTATTCAAAAAGAGCGAAAACACTATTCATCACAGCTGATTCAGATATATCTTTTAGGGTGGAATACCAGATGCTCATTCTGAAATCTCGAGGCAAACATTTAATATTTATAGATCGTGTCCAAAGCCAATCCTTCCTGGATTTGTCTCTCAACTCTAACTTCTAACTATTCTGCTCATCAGGGGGTAAAAATGAGACGCTTAGGACCTTCGAGAAAGCTAGCTGTCTTATTTGAACAGGCTGTGACCTGCTAGACGATATTTAAAATAACATGATAGTCTCTGGTTAGAAGCCACGGTATCACAACTGGGTGAGTTTGGTCGAGACAGAGTTATTTTTGGGTGTGGGCGGTGTGCGGGTGGTTAACGTGGGCAGTGTGTGTGTGTGTGTATGTCCCCATATGTTTACACTGGAGATAAAGCTCCCTTCCCGAGAAAAAAAATTAGTCACACTTAGACATGCTTTCCCATTTGAAGTCGGGAATAGGGGGCTCTTACAGTATATCAGATTTATATCAGTTGGATCGACTTGCCTTTTCGGTCACTGTGGTTTTGTTTTTACTTTATTGAGGAGAAATAAGTGAATGCTAAGGCCCCAGTCCAAGTTCAAGCCTTAGTCACTCAACAATGAGCAATTGTGGCATTGTGGTATTGACCGCCCCTCCCTCCCTCTTTTTCTCCCTGTTTCTCCTTTTAAAATCCTCTCTTATTGTGAGCTGTAAACTTGGTTTAGTCACAAACATTGGTGTGTAAAGTGCGTCAAGCCATGAAACTCTACCAGTTTCTGTTGGTTGAGGGGTGGATGTGAAGTGTGGTTGCGTGCGCTGCTCAAACGTGAAAGGATGACTAAGAAATGACGGTCCTTCTGTTTAAGACGAATCTCAGTGCATTTATAAACAGAAGCCAAGTCTGATTGTTATACCTGTGGATCTGTAAATCTCTCAGGTGGTTATACTGTAACTAAATACTCTTATGTTGCAGTGACAAAGCCCTCTAGTGACTCTTGTCTGTCTCTGGAGCAAAGTAGGAAATAGCCACAAAGTCAGGGGTAAAGGGAGGAGGCCAGGTTGGTTGGATGGGTCAACAAAATATCAGACTTTTGACAGGAGGCTGCTATTCAGTTTCAGTTTTCCACTGACAGAACAGACACATTTTCTTTTAGCTATGGCCATGATTGTTCCCTAACCTTAACCAAAGACGTGAAAAGTCACCCAACCTTAAGGAAGTAGTTATTTTGACCCAAACCACGATGTTTCCCTAACATTAACCAGTTTATTTTAACCTAAACCATGACCTTTCCTCAGCCCTAACAAAGTCATTTTCATTGCTAAACATGCCCAAACCATAACCCTAGGGGTGTCAGATCAGAACTGATCTGAAGGGCACTAACATTAAACCTCATCCTGCTGATAAAGGTATCGGATCAGAAAATTCTAGTGTGACATCCTGGAAGACAATCAGCATACTTTGCTGTTTAATTTAGAGGAGCTGTTGACTGTTGTGTCAAGCATTGACCAACTTCCTACTGCAAGATATATTTATGTGGCTCTCTGCCGTTATGTACCCTACAGTAGCCGTTACTGATGGAGCAACTATGGCATACTGCAAGTTTCTAAATTGGTCACTTCCTCAACATACAATACATACTTTTTTATTTTTTTTTATTTTTGAATCTCTTATCTCTTTACATTGACTAGCAAACTGAACTGTTTATCTAAGGGGGAGACTGATCATATGCACCAAGTTAGGCACAGTGATAATCACTTGGCTGCTACTTTAATTTAACCGTGCAGGCCACCAAATTTGAGTAAATATGTGGGGGTTCTCTGACACTTTCTTATTGCAGATATGCAAAAATGTGTCTTTACTGAAAAACTGTAG